TCATTTAATTTATTATTATTATTATTATTACTATTATTATTATTATTATTTTTAATTTGACCAGACAGAGAGAGAGAGAGAGGGAAAGTGAGAAAGCAGACCGCGAGGTCAGGAACTCAAACGGCAGTCAGCCATGTCTGAGTCCAGTGCTTCAACCACCGTGCCACTTGCCAGCTCCAACACTTGACAATTTCAATCTGTAAAGTTAGCCCTTTCAGAGTGCATAGAACAATAATCCTCTGTGATTTCAACATAATACTTCCTGATGAGTAATGAAGTTGAGCAGGTCTTCTATAGAAGTTGGTCATTAAGATATCTTCTTTGGGGACCAGCAGATGGTGTAATGGTTACATCGCTACACTCCCACATAATTGATCCCAGTTTGAATCCTGGACCTGATGGCTTAAAACTCATGCCAAGTGAGTGTGTGTGCATGCCCAAAATCCTGAGAGAAGGATGGAGAACAAGGGATTGTGGTGTGTTCATCTCCCCCTGGGGGGGGGTGTGTGATTTCTTGCTTTCTGTCTCTCTGGTGAGCACACACTCCCTGTGGCAATAAATTTCTCTCTTTCTCCATACACACACACACACACACACACACACACACAGACACACACACACACACACACACACACACACACACATATAAACATATGTTCTTTTGCAAAATGTCCATGTAAGTCTTTCACATTTTTCCTCCCTTTGGAAAACCATTTGATGTTCACTATTATGCCTAACCATATTCATCAGTTCTGTCCTAGTATTCTCCTCCTAGGTGTGTATTCACAGAAATGAAGACGTTTACCAAAATCCACTAATACAATGTTAATAAAAGCAATTTTTGTATTAGGACCAAACTGGAATGTACCCAAATGCCCATTAACCATCTCACAGATAACACATAATAGAAAATTACATAGCATTAAGAATTAACAACCTATAATCGAAGCCAACAACATGGTTGAATGTTCCAAACATAATTACATAATTTTTAGAAAGATTTCTAAATGAGAGTAAAGAGCTTCTTCTTCATTTACATAAACTAATATATATATATATATTCACGTTTTTAGAAATCAGTATTGTATCAGTATAGTGACCATCTATATGTGGACGGCAGAGGGGGTAAGGGAGCTGTTGACTGAAGGGGAGTTCTGAGATTTTTTGGGAAGTAGGAACATTCAGTGTCAACTGTCTCCACCTTCTCAATGCTCATCAACTCATTTGTTTATGATCCTTTTATGCACATTAGATTTCAATAAAACATTTTTAAAAATCAGCACTGTGTTTTTGAATTATTAACTTTTTTGAGAGTTTTTTGCTATAGGGTGAGTGTGCTAGCCAGAAAGAGAGAGAGAGACAGAGAGACAGAGAGGCAGAAAGCAAGAAATCACCCCGCAGGGCCACGCCGCAATCCCTTCGCCTCTATTCTCCTCTCAGGGTCTTGGGCACGCACACACACACGCCCGGCATGAGTTTAAGCCACTGGGTCTGGGACTCGAACTGCAGTCGAATGCATGGGAGTCCAGTGACATAGCCGTTATGCTAACTGCTGGTCTCTATTATTAAACTTATTTACCCCAAATGAGAACAAACCATTTTGCTTCACACGCACACATAAAAAGTCTTAAAAAGATTCTTTTCATGAATTGCCAGAAAAGCAAACCCACACCCCCACCCCCAGATCAGTCAGTCCTGTACCTTGGCCAAGTTTACTCATGCCGTCAGGGTGCTGCTTGTGAAAACATTGCCTAACCTGAAGTCCTGTAAGTGATTTTTACAAACGCTTGTGTTATATTTTGTTCTGAGATTTTACACAAAATAGACCTGATCGGGTTTGATCATTGGAGACTGCGTGAGATGCAGAGGCTATCAGCAGCTGCCGCTGTGCACATCCTAAGAATCTGAATGCGCTCCGAGGGAGAACATGCCTGGGATCAGAAAACAAACTGACGAGCAGGTCGTAGTGCTAGCATTGGAGGGAGGGCAGTGAACAGTGAGACCTGGATCAAACCCTGGCGCTGCTGGGGTTTGTGGTTCCTGTTTTTTCTTTTCTTTTCTTTTCTTTTTCTTTTTTTTTTTTTTCTTGTTTACTTTGCAAAAGTTTCTGATGGGCGGAGCATCCAGTAATCCCTTTAACTTCCAAGTGGTGTTCAGCTTCCTTTTGGACTAAGGACATTCCTGCACTAGTCACAGTTTCTAGCAGAGGAGGACTGGACTTCGTGAGCAGTGCCAGCTCCTCAAAGCTTGCCTCGAAGATCCAGAAAAATGAGACTTGCAGTGAAGGTTATTTGGCTTATGCTATGGACTGTTTGTATAGCAGAAGGTAAGACTGAAAGAGGAAGATTTTTTTCCTCCATAGCTATTTGCTAATGATGATTTCACTGTGGTAATAAAAATCTAGTGCAGAAAATGTCCGTAATTATCATAAATACTGTAATTTACTTTTTTTTTTTGGCTGAGACATTTTACTAAAGTGCTTTATGTGAAAGTATTAAGAAATATGTGAATATACTCAGTCAATCAAAGTCTTCACATCATATAATATGATTACATTGATTTTAGATATAATTTAACACTTCCTAAAGAAAAATTCACTTATCATTTACAACATGCCCTTAAAGTTCTTGTACACAAGCATTGCTTGGATCATCGGATGAAACTATTATATAGATTTGAAGTGCTATTGAATATGTAATAATTATAATATCAAGTTCCCCCTTGTGGTATGTAAGATGTATTCTCAAAGAGCAGAATTTTGGCATCATAAATAAGACTACAGGATTTTATTCTACTTTCAGTAAGACAATTTCTAAAGTCCTAGTTTAATTCTTTCAGTGTGTCTTGATAGAGTGGAAAGTTTATTCTTGGAGGAAATTTATTTCCCTAGTTCAAAAATAAGGACCTAGTTATGTGATAGATATTGAATCAACATTTTTAAACCAGATGAGTTACACGTCATTTCTACTTTCCCCAAACGTTTTGCTTAGTCGACCAATTTTGATTACGCACCTGTGTAATTGCTTCTGCAAGTGAAGAATAGTAGCAAATAACAAAAGTTCTGTCCCAGGGAGTTTTCCAGTCTAGGAAATAAAGGCAGATAGGAGTATTTTTATTTTATCTTTTCAGAACTTTGAAACATTTTTGTTAAAATGTGTTTAATACTTTTTAGATAACTAAGTTTCTTTTAAAGTTTTATTTTCTAATGTGTTATTGCTTGACTTTTGGCTTGTAAACTCAATATTCAATCACTTTTAGTACTAGGTAAACAGTCACTTCCTTGCATGTGTAACTATTATAATTAGCACTTAAAAATGAAATATTGAGGTGTTGGAAAAGTCATGATGTATTTTTTTCAGGCAAAATCGCACCATGACTTTTCCCACGACCCAGTATTACTGTATTGGCAAGGAGTTTCCAGAACAATGTTAACATGAGCAAACGTAGCAAATATGTCTTTTGTTTTCTTCTCATAAATGTTTGATCTTTTCTCACTTTACGACAATGTCTTAAAGTTTTGCTGTTTAGATTCTGTTTCTATTCTCTGTTATGTAAGAAAGATTGGTTTAATCTCTAGCTAATTTTTAAAAATTAAGAGTTGATGCCAAATTTAGCTGAAGTGATTATAAAGTTTGAAATATTATTAAGATAGAGTGCTACCAAGTATATGTGATAATAAAATGATAGTGATTTAAACTTGAGTTTACATAGCTCATTCCACCTGACTTATTTCATTTGCATTTTACTTTTCATTAATGTATGTTTAAATGTGATACCAGTTTCTGCTGGTAAATTGATCATTATTTGCACTGTATTGTATTACAGCAAGAATGACTACATCCCTGGCTATTTCCTGATCCATAAAGCACAACTTTAGTATTTAAAGCCATGCTTAGGTCAGCCTCCTAACGTTCATAAAAGCATATATAATGCATAAGCCAGGAGAGAAAAATCTCATGAATTTTCAGTTCATATAGAATTTCCATGTTATTCCTTATTTGCTATATAGTCTCTGAGACTAAATTAATTTCAGATGTCCCTCAAGTCCATTAGTCTGCCATACCTAAATCTTACTCAGCAAAGTAGACTTGATCATTAAAAATATTCGCACACTTCAATATTTGCTTCTGTTTTTATTTCCCACATCAATTGAGAATTGAGAAAAGACTGTTTTGAATGCTATCACAATCTGTTTTACTCAACGAGATGTAAAATTTTAGCATTTTTAAAATCGCTTCTGCCCCGTTCAGAGTGATCATTCCTCAGCAAACACTCTTAGTTACTGTAGAAGAATAACAGACAGCAGGAAGAATTTATAAACCCAGCTTTCCATGTTTCCCCTTGTTAACAAACCGGGGAGAAAGTGGCACCTTTGTAACGTAAAGCTTCCTTGGCATTTGCACTCCTAGTTGTGTAGAAACCATAGTTACTTCCCCATAGAAGGTCTTGGCACAGGGAGTCCTCTCATGATACTGAAAATTGGATCAGACTTATAGGACAAATTTTAGAAAAACATTATCTCAACCTCTCCACAGTTTCATCTTTTTGGAATAATTTATGACTATGCTTTTCAGGTAGATGTTTCAGACTTAGGGTCTAACAATTGTTAGCTTATGAAGTCAGGCCTCACCTGAAAAATTCCAAAATGATGAAAGTGAATAAGTAAAAACTCTTCTGAAACATGTCCAGGTAATATTAGCTATGTTGTTTTGGGAGTTACATGTCTTTTAATCCTGGAGGCTTAGGGGGGCAAAAAAGTTCTTTTGGAGAAAAAAAAGGTTTTATAGATCAAACAGGAAGGAATTCCATTCCAATCAGAGAAGGGACAATTCATTTCTTTATATTTTATATTCTTTCAAGTATGAGATGGTTTCTAATTTGAATGAACCCTAATAGGAAAAAATAAGATGCTATAAATGTTATAGAAATGAATGTGGTTTATAATCTTAAAATCTGTGATTGAATTTCAGTGTGATAAACAGGAGTCCTCCATCAAAATAAAAAAAATTTTAAAAAAGCCCCAAACCAAACACCTCCACATTTTCAGAGACAATGGTATAGAAAAATGTGATTTGGAGTTGCTTCAGTATCATCTTCCATCCTTCTGACTTCACCTGTTTTTACTACCATGAACCCAGCCCATCTGTAATATACCACGAAATGTCAAATACTCTGGCTAAATATTTTAGGACAGTTCTATTTAGTATTATCCATCATCATTTGTTGTGATTTTTAAGTAATCTGGTGACTTCCCATAACACTTTTCGTGAGGGAGAGTAGAAAAGGATGATGGTGAGTTGAAAGTGTAGGAGGACGTGATTGTGGAAGATGAGGGATTTCCACCTAGGAGCATTCTGATTGGCAGTGCTATGACAAGAGAGAAGGTACCCCCAGGAACAGCAGGAGAGTGCACTGTGCCAAGGCAACTCTGGCTTATTTTAAATTTAGGCATATCCTGGGACTGCATATGCTACTCTTGTGCCTGCATATAATATACTTTAAAGCCAAACTGAAATATTTAAGTATTGCAAAACAAAATTATTCTAAGCCAGAGGTAAATTTCCAAATAAAAGTTCAAAAGCAGGTTAGAAAAATATTCTTCACTTTTGGACTGCAGCTGCTAAGGGCTGAGCCAAAGTCTAAGTTGATCCATTTTCATTGGCTTTCGTCCTGATTGTTTTGCAATCTTTGCCACTTTCCTTCTTCCTAGCTGTGCCTCCGCCTCTCTCCCCCACCCGACCGGATCCCACACCTGCCTAGGTCTTTGAGATGCTGCCAACCCTTCTATCTCATGCTCCGTTAATTAATATGTACTTTACCCATTTCTTAACAGCCTTAACAAGTCTTAGAACACAGTGCATGGTGTAATTATAAAGAGATTTTTAATAGTGGCTCAAAGAAGGTAAAGCAACTGAACAGAAAGCAAAAACACCAAATAAATAGAGGAAAAGGAAAAAATAATTTGACAGAACACTTTAGTTTTGGTATTTTACCTTAAAAATAAGTTTCTGACCAATTCTGTTAACTGGATACATAATCGATGAAAAAACGTAATTATAGAATTGTTCATTCAAAGGTTCCTAAAAGTGTTATTCTTTGCCCCAACCTAAAGTGATTCCTGACTTCAAAGACTTTAACATAAATCAAACTTAGAGCACTTAGACCAGATGTCCAACACAGTTTTAGATGTTAGAGTCTCTGGGTTCATGCAACAGAGATTTAAGTGCACTAAACCATGGTCCCCTTGTCTCCTCTTATATTCCACATTGGCTACTGTCCACTAAGTCATTTCGACAGGTTGTCCATAATCTACGGATATGTCGAGAGGCTGGCTGATCATTTCATTTTCATTCATTCATCTGTTCTTCCATGTAATGGTCACTTTTTGAGAGAGAGCTAAGTGCCAGGCACTCTGACAAGGCCTTTCCAAAAGAGGACCACTCAGTGGGGAAGACAAATGAGAAATGAATTTTGTTATGTGAACAAAGTGTATTTTACCATTTAAACTATAAAGACTGAGAGAAACAGAAGATACTACAGGATCACTTTGGTACAGGAAGAATGCCACATTGGGATGGGTGGAGGACGTGGGCTCAGGCTGGGGAGCAGGTTTGTAAGAGGCACAATGAAGAGAGAATGGTCAAGGCTGAGATACCTCTTGGGGAGATTTTGACGGTTGAAAGGAGTCAGTGAGAGGAGGAGGACATTAAGGACCGAGGAAGCATCACGTTTCTAGACAAAGACCTCAGAGCAGTTCTGCTAACTGGAGAACTGACATTGTATTTCTAAATTCTCCATTAATGTAACTTCCACAAGGGCTACTGGTAAAACTTCATACAACGTATGTTGCTCCTCTCAGCTCTTCCCTTAATCCTTATCTCCAAGATACAAGCGATGATTATTCAAATGTCAAATTGTTCCTGCTGCAGAATTTTCAGGTCTTCACGTTGATGTCACCCCGTGGCTAACCTCGTTTTTGTGGCAGCTAGTGAAGCCTAATGAAGACGTATTCCATAACAATAACTTGTTTTAAGTACTGACATCGCCATGGGACAATATTTGGTACTGGGAATTAGCTCGTCCAACACTACACGTTTCAAAAAACTTGTATTCAGTGGAATTTGAGGCTGCGTCCTGAGAATACCTGTTTCAGTGCTAATTACGACACCCTTGTTATTCTGCCCAATTTCATTTTTTTTTTCTTTTTTTTGGAGAGGTTTTTTGTTTGTTTTGTTTTGTTTTTTTTGCTATAGGGCGTGTGTGCTGGCCAGACAGAGAGAGACAGAGAGAAAGAAAACCAGAAATCACCCCCTAGGGGAGATGGTC